TGGGACTCGATCCCAGGACCCTGGGATCATGACCTGAGCTGAAGGCATACGTTTAACCGACTGAGCCACCCAGGCATCCCCTGTATTCCAAAACTTTAGAGAGAAAACAACTTATATATATATACCAAAATTAAAGTTAACACCTATGAGGGGATAGAATATGACTCTAAAAATGAAAAATAAGAAAGATTTTAAAAAAGGGACTGATAAGATGTTGGTTGAAAAAGGGAAAAAGAAAAATTAAGAAAAAAAGAAAAAGAAAATTTAAAAAATTTGAAAGACTAAAGAATCATGGAAAAAAAGCCATTAATTCTATGTACAGTATTTCCCTAGTGCTGGAGTTCTGCCGTTCTCATTGATCGGTAAACTTGGTCTTGGCTGGCTGTTGTGCTGATCTTCTGGGGGAGGGGCCTGTTGCCCTGGTTCCCAAATGTCTTTGCCGGAAGTGGAATTGCCCCACCCTTGCTGGGTCCAGGCTAAGTAATCCGCTTGGGTTTGCTCTCGGGAGCTTCTGTTTCCTGCAAACTTTCGGTACAGCTTTGGAGGATGAGAGTGAAAATGGCGGCCTCCCAATCTCTGCCCCGGAGGAAACGAGAACTCGGGGCTCCTCTCCTCAGTGCGCCCCAGAGAAAAGCAGTCAGTCACTCCTGTCTCCCCGGTCTCCGGCCGCACTTCAAGCTCACCCAGCCTGTGACCGAGCGTTTCTATCTCTGGCACAGGACTCCGTGTGGAGTCTCCAAACCCAGCAGATCCCTGCGCTGCGCTCTCCCGCCGCTCCTCCCGGGGGAGGAAGGGGAGTTTCCCCGGCTCTGCCGCTTGTTGGGTCCCTGCTGGAGGAGCAGTGGCCCGGCTGTCACCGATCACAGTTTATGGCAACCCCGAGCTGAGAGCCCGCGCCTCAGCTCCGTCTCTGCAGCCGGCTTCCCCGCTCCGATACCTGGGAGCTCTGCTGCACTCAGGCACCCCCGGTCTTTCTGTGACCCCGAGGGTCCTGAGACCACACTGTCCCGCGAGGATTCCACGCCCCGCTTAACCACTGGAGCAACGTCCCTAGCGGAGCCGACTTCTAAAAGTTCCGATTTTGTGCTCCGCAGCTCTGTCACTTGCCAGAAGCGGGGGAGGCCCCCTCCCCCGCTGTCGATCTTCCCGAATATCACCTCGGACTCACTTCTCCGCATGTCCTACCTTCCAGTAAGTGGTCGCTTTTCTGTTCAGAGAGTTGTTGCTATTCTTTCTTAGATCTCCTGTTGAGATCGTAGGTGTTCAGAATGGTTTGATCCCTATCCAGCTGAATTCCTCGGACCAGACCAAATTTAGGTCTCCTACTCCTCCGCCATCTTGCTCCTCCCCCGAAACTTTTTAAAATATTTTATTTATTTATTTGATAGAGAGAGAGAGAGAGAGAGAGTGAGCACACAAGCAGGGGGAGCAGCAGAGAGAGAGAGAGAAGCTGACTCTCTGCTGAGCAGGGATCCCAACGCGGTGCTCCATCCCAGGACCCTGGGATCATGAACTGAGCTGAAAGCAGATGCTTAAACACCCATGCGCCCCAGAATTTTAGACTTTCAAGTAGAATCTTCTACACTGGTCCAGGGCTTTATTTTCAAAACCTTTTCCAAACCAATTCACTGAAAACCCATTGTGTCGACTTAAATCACTTTAAATGGTTAATGATGTAACATGAGGTACTATGTTTAAGATTATAACATCATTAAATGTTATAATCAAGGATTCATAATGTCAATTTTAACATGAAGAAATCAAGTCCTTTCATTAAAGGATATTTTGCTAGAACAAGAGTTTTTTTCCCAGCTTTTTTTTCTTCACACATTAGTATTTGGTAGTCAGCATTCCACAAATGTTTGTTAATCCATGAACATTCTTTTAATAAGCAAAACATCTATTATACTGATTTTCCCAGGATCCATGAGAATATTGAAATATTTACCTAAGCATTTTGGTGGTGGTGACCACTGTCCATGTCTACATCTTATGGTCCTCTGTCCCTGAAGTACATAGAAGGACTGGCATTTGTACTCTACTGATGATCCCGGAGCATATGTTGATGATGGGAATGAGGTAATGTCTCCATTGTCAATAGGTGGAGGAGGCCCACATTTTCCTCTAGAATCTAAAAAAAAAAAAAAAAATTATTTGATTTATTGAAAAACCAAAGAAAAACAGGTTAAAATAAAGCAAATAAAAATATAGCACAATATTCAATATCAAGACTTGTGATTTCTGTTGACAGAAAGGATTCACTGAAGAAATGTTATTTTATTTTATTTTTTAAAGATTTGATTTGGGACGCCTAGGTGGATTAGTCAGTTAAGCATCTGCCTTCAGCTCAGGTCATGATCCCGGGGTCCTGGGATCGAGTCCCGCATTGTGCTCCTTGCTCAGCAGGGAGCCTGCTTCTCCCTCTGCCTGACGCTTCCCCTGCTTGTGCTCTCCCTCTCTCTCTCTGACAAATCAATAAGTATTTATTTATTTGCGAGAGAGAGAAAGTCAGTGAGAGAGAGAGAGAGAAACCCAGAGGGAGAGGCAGAGGGAGAAGCAGACTCCCCGCTGAGCAGAAAGACCTGGGATCATGACCTGAGCCAAAGGCAGATGCTTAACCCACTGAGCCACCCACGCGCCCCCATTGAAGAAATTTTAATCACTTAAGGTGAGAATTACAATTCTAAGGCTTTCCTTTTATCCCACATGAAAGCACACCTGAAGCATTAACAAATATATCTACTTTATGTATTCTGGTGTTAAAAAATGTTTTTCTTCCTGAATAAATACTGGACAGATGGATAGCTAATGGAAACAAAGACACTTTCTTGTTACATACAACATACTGCAGTGGCTATTGGATCTCTAGTCATTGCTTATTGATTTTCATTTATTTTATAAAGGGAACATCAACTTCTTTAATTAAAGTCAAAGAATTACACATTGGTATAATGGGAAAGAGAACTGCTGGCTTCCTGTCCTGGACATGATGAGGTAGAGACCTTTCTGCTTATTCCTTCTCAGTATCACTAAAAATATAAAAACCAGCAAAAGAGATGGTGAAGGATGTAGAGAAGACGTCGATCGGATCAGAGGCCTTGGTATTCAAGGAATTATACTGCAGTGAGTTGTTTGGGTTTTCATGTTGCCTCCTATGGATCCTGGACTGGGCACTGAAGAAGACTAGAACACAGCAATCATATCAAGTTCAGGAGAAAAAAGTTCCAAGAATTGTCTGCTCTTGTTAGCCAAAGGCTCAGGAAAGGAGTATTCTAGGAAGACAGAAATATTTCTTTTTACAATAGTTGAATTACTCTTGGAAAACATAGAAGAAACCTTGACCAACTCTCTCCCCATGTTGATCAGAGACCAACAGTGATCAACCGAGGTCAAAGGTGGAACCTAGACTTCTATCCACAGTCAGGAAACAAGACACCTCTCCCCTTACCATGGTGTCAGTGGAGGCCAACTGGGAAGCTTGGACTTGCACTCTGCAGTAGTGGAGGCCTGGTAAATAAGAGATTTCGATAAAATCCAGAATCTTAACACAACACCCGAAATGTCTAGAATACAATCGAAAATCACTCATCATACCAAGGACCAGGAAAATCTCAAAAGAGAAAAGATAATCAACAGATCACAACACTTCTATGATACAGATACTGGAATTATTTGGCAATGGTTTTTAAAATTCCAGTGGGAATTATAGAACTAAAAATTATAATAATGGAATTTAAAACGAACACCTCACTGGATGGGCTCAATCATGGATTACAGATGACAGAAGGCTAAATAAACTTGCATACAGAATACAAATTACTCACTTTGAAAGTAGACTGAAAACAAAACCAAAAAAACTTCTAAAAATACTGACTGAAAATTTCCCAAATTGGGCACAAGGCATAAACATTCATATTGAAAAAGGCAAACAGGACAAACCCAAAGAAATTCATGCCAAGATAAGCCACACTCAACTGAGGAAAGCTAAAGAGAAAGAAAAAAATCTCAAAAGCAGCTACATAGAAATTATGCAAACCTATAGGGGAAAAGGGATTCAAATGTCAGCGGGGTTCTCATCTGTAACCATCAAGCCAGAAAGAAGTGACAACATTTTTCAAGTGCTAGAAGACAAGAACCGTCAGCCCTGAATGCTGTATCCCGTGATTCTATCCTCTAGGGTTTAAGGGAGAAAAGAAGATATTCTGAGACAAAGGAAAACAGAGCATTTATCTCCAGCAGATCTATCTTTAAAGAATTGCTAAAGGAATTCTTCAAATATCAGGGAAAAGATAACAGAGAGAGGATTGAGACTTCATGAAGGAAAAAACAAACAAACAAACAATGGACTGAAAACAATAAGGGTAAATATAATGGACTCTTTTCTCCTAAGGAGTTTGTGACGTTTGATGTTTGTGAAAGATTATATCATTTGATATGATGTTCAGTATATGCAGAAGAAATACTTAAGAAACATATGTTTGAAATGTGGGGAAGGTAGGGGTGCCTGGGAGGCTCAGTCAGTTGGTTAAGCGTCCACTCTTGAATTTAGCTCAGGTCATGATCTCAGGGTTGTGAGATTGAGCCCTGTGTCAGGCTCCAAGCTGGGTGTGGAGTCTGCTTAAGATTTTCTCTCTCCCTCGCCTTCTGCCACTCCACTCACTCTCTCTCTGTCTTTTTATCAATCAATAAATAATAAATAAAATAAAATAAAATAAAATATGGAAGGGTGAATGGACCCAAGTGGAAGTAAGGTTTCCTCATTTCACTTGAAGTGGTAAAATGTCAAAACGGGGTGGGGGGAGTGACAAGCTATGTATGTGCATCTTAATGCCTTGAGCAGCCGCGGATAAAGCTATATGAAGAGATACGCTCCAAAACAACAAAGACATATCAAAATAAAATTATTTTAAAATGTTCCAAAAGTCCCTAGGGATGGCCAAAAAAGGAATGGGAGTGAGAAATAGAGGAAAGAAATGGAAGACAAATAATAGAATGGCTGACACAGGCCCTAATCTATCAATAATTATTTTAAGTGTAAATGGCTTAAATACTTCAGTTAAGGGACTGAAAATGGCAGAATGGATACATAAACAAGCGCCGACTATATGGCAACGAAAAGAAACTACCTTCAACATGAAAACGTAGGTGGGCTCAAAGTAAAAGATTGGAAAATATATATGCCAGGCAAAAGCTGATTTGAAAAACAAGCAGGTATAATATCTCCTTTGTTGGGTCCTCTTCTTTCCTAATCTCTAATTACTGGAGTGTCCTATGACCAAGTTCTCAGACTTTTTTTCCTATATACGCTAATTCTCTGGTGGAGCTCAACTAGTAAGCTTCCTTTATATAATCCACATGCTGAAGAAGCCCAAATTTATATCAGATTCTATGAACATGCCCCAGTTGCTGATTGTGTGTCTCAAAGTGAAATTTCAGAGCTGTCAAATGTCCTCAGCATATCATTTTTTAAAAAAAGATTTTATTTATTTGTCAGGGAGAGAGAGAGCACAAGCAGGGGGAGCGGCAGACAGAGGGGGAAGCAGGTTCTGCTCTGACTGAGCCACCCAGCGCCCCCCCCCATATATCTTTAATACATTTATTCCTCAGGAAATAACTGAGTATCTTAATGCTTAAGATAGAGAATTTTCTGGGTGCCTGGGTGGCTCAGTTGATTAAATGTCTGACTCTTGATTTCTGCTCAGGTCATGATCTCAAGGTTGTGAGATCGAGCGCCACATCAGGCTCCGTGCTCAGTGTGGTGTCTGCTAAAGATTCTCTCCTTCCCCTCTGACCCTCCCCGCACTGTTTGCACTCATGCTCACAGTCTCTCTCTCTAAAAATAAAAAAAAAGAGAGAATTTTCTATGATTCCAACTGTCCTAATCTGGCCAAATCTTTCATAAAATAAATAGATAATTTCACTATGCAGCCCACAAAAAGAAAAAATTGGATTTTAAGCACCGTCATTTTATTTGAGATAAAAAAAGATTCCAGAAGAACTACGTCATTATATATTTATACTGACATAGCCAGTCCTTAATATATTATATTATATATAGTATATAATATAATATATATATATATATTCCCCTCTAAAATTTGAGGGGAAATAAGATACTTTACCTGCACACTGAGGGGGTTGTGTCCAGGTCCCATTTAAACATATCACTTCTACTTCCCCAAACAGATCAAAAGGTTTGACGCATTCATAACGGGCACTCTCACCAGGTAGATAACTAGACTTCTTATTTAGTATAATAGCATTTTTCACTTCGGGTGGAGTCTCACAGGAAATATCTGAATAGAAAGGAAAAAAGTAGCATCTCTAACATAATGATCATTTTGAGTAGCAAATCAACGAACAGGATTCCAAATATATCTGAAGGGGGATTTAAAATCAACAGTTCATCTGTCACGAAAGAGAGCCAATTTTAAGAAATTTACATATAAGATCGAAGAAAAAGAGATAAAGCAATATCTTTTGATAAGATTTAAGCGTCTATGAAAATGAGAGTTTTTCTGGAGATTTCTTTCCCCTTTTTAGGAAAATCAATATTACAAATAAATTCAATATAAACTTATAAACCACAAGAAAATAATAGTAAAAGATTATTTGATGTCAGATTTTGGCTTGCAATCATCCTGTTTATGAATGTAATTTTAGGAAAATAAACACAGTAGGCACTTCCTTAGAGAATAGATGAAGAATTAACATACTTTGAAGAATACTGTAGTTGAAGGAAAGATGAATAACTGAGGATCTGTCGACCTCAGAGAGTCGGGGCCTGGGGCGGCGA